CACCACCACTCCAGCCTTCAACAGCCACTGCCCTGATCAGTCAGCAGCCATCAACATGGAGGCAAGACCCTCCACCAGCAAAAAGATTACAACTCACTGAAGGCTCAGATGATGGTTAGCATTTTTAAGCAGTAAAGTATTTTTTAATTAAGATATGTACTTTTTTTTTTAAGACATAAGGGTGTTGCACACGTAGTAGACTACAGTATAGTGTAAACAAAACTTTTTTTATGCACTGGGAAACCAAAAGATTCATGTGACTTGCTTTATTTCAATATTCTCTTCATTGCGGTGGTCTGGAACCGAACCCACAATATCTCTGAGGTATTCTTGTATAATTTTTTAAGGTTCATCTATGTCATAGCATGTATTGGAATTTTATTACTCTTTATTGCTGAATAATATTCCATTGTATGTATAGTAGTACCACATTCTGTTGATTCATTTGTCTGCTGGTAGGTGCTTGGATTGTTTCCACTTCTTGACTGTTGTGATTAATGCTTCAGCGAACATTGGTGTACAAATTTAAGTCTCTGCTTTCAGATATTTTGGTATATACCCAGGAATGGAGTTGTTGAATCATATGGTGATTCTTTGTTTAACTTTTTGAGGTACCACTAAACTTTCCCACAACAGCTACACCATTTTACATTTTCACTAGCATTGCACAAGGGTTCTTGTTTCTTAACATCCCTGCCAACACTAGTGGGTTTGAAGTGGTATTTTATTGTGGTTTTGTTTTGCATTCCCTGATGATACACTTTAAAACAAATTTTTTTTTGAATAAAGTATTTTACTTAAGATGAGAGTTTATACAGCAAGTTAACTCAGTGCTGTCGAGTTGATTCCCACTCATAGTGACCCTGGAGGACAGAGTAAAACTGCCCCGTAGGGTTTCCAAGTTGTAAATCTTTATAGAAGCAGACTGCCACATCTTTCTCCTGCAGTTACTCAAGGGTTTGAACCGCCATCCTTTTGGTCAGCAGCTCATTGCTTTAACCAGTGTGCCAGCAGGGCTCCTCACAGCAAATTAGGTTCCCATTTAACAATTTCTACACAAATTATTCAGTGATACTGATTACATTTTTCACCGTGTGATTCTCATTCATTCTGTTCTGGTTGTATCATTTTCAGTACTCTACTTTCCCTGCCTGCTTACTTTCTTATCTTTGCTTTAGAGTAATTTTTGATCGTTTGGTCTTCTATAGTTGATTTTTTTTTTTTAAGAAGGTATTTACTCTGGGATGATATTGTTTATTTTATGATCCAGTCTGTTATTTAACAGGTCACCTCAAGGGACGATTTTTTTTTTTAATCTTAATTTTCTTTTTTTGGTTTTAATTTTTTTTTGTTTGTTGTTGAACATATACACAGCCAAACGTACACCAATTCACCTGTTTCTGTGTATACGATTCATCAACATTGATTACGTTCTTAGAGTTGTGCAGCCATTCTCACCCTCCTTTTCTGAGTTGTTCCTCTCTATTAACATAAACTCACAGCTCCCTAAGTTACCTGTCTAATCTTTTGAGTTGCTGCTCTCACTTTGATACCGAGGGGTAATTTCAGTTTAAGGTTTGAAGTGCATCTCAGAATGATAGCCTGGGGCAGTCCTCTAGTCTCAGCTGATCCAATATGTCTGGACTTTTTAAGAAGTTTTGTTTTTTTCTACATCTTTCTCCCATTCTGTAAGGATACATCTAATGTGGCCCTGATCAGAACGGTCATTAGTGGTAGTCGGGCACCATCTAGTTCTTCTGGTCTCAGGGTACATGAGGCCATGGTTTGTGTGGACTGTTAGTTCTGTAGACTACTTCTTCCCTGAGTCTTTGGCGTCTGTCTTAGTTATCTAGTGCTGCTATAACAGAAATACCACAAGTGGATGGCTTTAACAAACTGAAGTTTATTCTCTCACAGTCCAGGAGGCTAGAAGTCCGAATTCAGGGTGCCAGCTCCATGGGAAGGCTTTCTGTTTTTGTTGGCTCTGGGGAAAGGTCCTTGTCATCCATCTTATCCTGGTCTAGGAGCTTTTCAGCATAGGGACCTCGAGTCCAAAGGACGCATGTTCCTGGCTCTCGGTGGTACCAAGTCCCCATGTCTCTCTGCTGGCTTCTCTGTCTTATATCTCAAGAGAGATTGACTTAAGACACGACCTAATCTTAATAGATTGAATCCTGCCTCGTTAACATAATTACCTCTCATCCTGCCTCATTAACATCATAGAGGTAGGATTTACAATACATAGGAAAATCACATCAGATGACAAAATGATGGACAGTCACACAATACTGGAGTCATGGCCTAGCCAAATTGACACATATTTTGGGGGGATACAATTCAATCCATGACAGTGTCCTTCTTTCTCTTCTGTTCCAGATGAGTAGAGACCACTAGTTGTATCTTAGGTGACTGCTTATAAGCTTTTAAGACCCCAGATGCTACTCACCATGTTGGGATATAGAACGTATGTTTTATGAACTGTATTATGCCAGTTAATTAAATTGCCCCATGAGACTGTGGTCCTAAGTCTTCAAACCCTGAACACCAACCTCGTGAGGTATCTGGTTATGTCCAAGAAGTATCTGTACCTGTGTCCCCTATGTGGTTTATTGTGTATATGGATATACATGCATGCACACCTTTATCTGTATGTACATACACCTATAAATACTTGTATCTGTGCGTGCATATTTATCCACATATTCATACTCATATACTTACATGTCTATATACATATTTGTGTAACTACCCCCATATATTTTTGGTTGTTGCTGGCGTTGTTTCCAAATTATGTTTGTCATATCGTTTACCAAAAACATCCTTTTCTCTTGTGCACTTCGTAGTGACCTCATTTACCTTGGTCAAGGTGTATGCACTTCACCCATATTTGATGCTGTCTTTTCTGTCAGCAAAGCTAACAAGTGTTTATTGTCTTGAGAGTACTCCTACCTCTTTCCCCCAGTCTCTGGTAACTATCAGTGAGGGTTGGTCTCCGTATATGTATCTTTGCTTGTCTTTTTATAAAAGTGCAAGCATACAGTATTTGTCCTTTTGTAATTGACTTATTTCACTCGGCATAATAAGTATTGTACATGTGTACCACATTTTGTTTATCCATTTGTCCATTGATGGACACTTAGGTTGTTTCTAACTTTTTGCTATTGTGAATAATTCTGCAATGAACATAGGCATGCATATGTCTATCCATGTCACTGATACTAGATCTCTAAGGCATATACCTAGAATTGCTGGACCATAAGGTATTTCTATTTCTAAATTTTTAAGGAAGCACCATACTGTTTTCCATAGTAGTTATATCATTTTACAGTCCCACCAGCAATGGGTTAGGATTCCAGTCTCCCTGCAACCTCACCAACTTTTGTTGTTTTCTGTTTTTTTTTTTTTAATCAGTGCCATTTTTGTAGGAGTGAGATGGTATCTCATTGTAGTTTTGATTTGCATCCCTCTAATGGCAAATATGGAAACCCTAGTGGTATAGTGGTTAGAGTTCAGCTGCTAACCAGAAGGTCGGCAGTTCGAATCCACCAGTTGCTCCTTGGAAACTCTATGGGGCATTTCTGCTCTGTCCTATAGGGTCGCTATGAGTCAGAATCAACTCGACAGCAGTGGGTTTTTTGGAAACCCTGGTGGCGTAGTGGTTAAGTGTGACAGCTACTAATCAAAAGGTCAGCAGTTCAAATCCACCATGAGCTCCTTGGAAACTCTGTGGGGCAGTTCTACTCTGTCCTATAGAGTCGCTGTGAGTCAGAATCGACTCAGTGGCAGCAGGTTTGGGTTTTTTTTTTTTTTTAATGGCTAATGATAGCGAGCATCTTTCCATGTGTTTTTGATGATACACTTTAGAAAAATATATTATTGTTGAGAATATACATAGCAAAACATACACCAATTCAACATTTTCCACATGTACAATTCAGTGCCGTTGGGTACATTCTTTGAGTTTTGCAACGTTCTCACCCTCCTTTTCTGAGTTGTTCCTCCCCCATTAACATAAACTCACTGTCCCTAAGGTTCCTATTTAATCGTTCGAGTTGCTGTTGTCAATTTGATCCCATGTAGGTAGTTCTCAAAAGAGCATAATGCTCAAGGCAGACATTTTGTACTAGTTAAGCTAAACTATTGTTTGGTTTTAAGAAGACTTCAGGGGATATAATGATCCACTTTTGATAATTGGAGGAGATTACCTCTGGTCATCAGATTATTTCATTAACAGGGGTTTTGAGAATTTATCATGATAAATGTTACCGAGAGTAGGGAGTGCCATTATAGCAACTAAAAGCCTACATGGTTACTGACTAAAAAAATATGTATACTTTTAAATTTATTTTTTGGCACTCTGAACCATGTGTTTTCAGAAGTACCTGGAAAGATATCTTGGTTAAATTAACTTCTTTATATTGTTGTGTAGCTTAGAGTGAAAAGAGGAAACACTTTCAAGTCAGACTTGAGTATCTAGGACTCCTGGTTCTGCCACTTATGATATGAAATTATGAAAGTTACTCATCCTTTCTGAAATACAGTTATTTCTTAAGTTGTTGGGAAAATTAATTGAGATATTATAGGTGAAGTTCAGTGCCTGTCTGCTGAGTTGAGTAAATGACTCACAAATACTACTTTAGAGTACTTGTACCACTGTACTCAGACTGTTTTCAGTTTCTTGTGGCTCAAGATTCTGAAGTGATTCTTTTTTAAATAAATTATTGTGTATCTGGTCCTGACAGCTATTGTCCTTGAGAAAAATGAAATTATTGGGGGTTGGTCAAAAACTGTATAATTTGGGATTGATAAAAAACTATGTACAGTATATGTTTTCATTTCTGGAGTTCTGTTCATTTCATTTTAAGAATCAATCATACTTTGCACTTGAAATTACCTGTTTACTGTCTTTGTCATTTTACAGCATCCTAAGGTTAACGTTAAGCTTCTCCCATTGGAGCCAAAAAGTAAACAGCTCATGACTTCTGACCAGGACACTAAAGTTGTGGCTGAACCGCAGGTGCAGCAAGTACAAGAAGTGAAAGACAGTTCTCATCTGGTTGGTATTTTCTTTTTTAAATTAGAATTGTTTTAATACGTATCTTTTCTTTCTGATAAAAGATCTACATTGAATTCAGTAACAAAATCAAAATAGTAACACTAGAATATCTTACGATCTAAATATGAATACTATGTTCAGAGTAAATTTATGGGTAACTTAGTAGAGAAGAAGGAACCCTGGGGGCACAGTGGTTAATTAAGTGCCCAGCTGTTAACCAAAAGGTCAGTGGTTCAAACCCACCAGCCACTCCACAGGAGATAGATGTGGCAGTCTGCTTCCAGAAAGATTAACCAAAACAACCCACTGGTATTGAGTTGAATCCAACTCATAGTGACCCTATAGGACAGAATAGAACTGCCCTCACAGGGTTTCCAAGGCTGTAATCATTACAGAATCAGACTGCCACATCTTTTTCCCATAGAGTGACCAGTGGGCTTGAACCGCTGACCTTTTAGTTAGCAGCCAGGCTGCTTAACCACTGCACCACCAGGGCTCCTCTCCATAAAGATTACAGCCTTGGAATCTCTGTTGGGCAGTTCTACTCTGCCCTTTAGGGTTGCTGTGAATGGAATCAACTCACAGCAACTAGTTTGGGTTTTTTTTTGTGGGTGGTTTAGTAGAGAAAATTACAACTACTAGATAATAGAGAAAATAAATGGTAGTTACAGCTATAGATACTTAAAGTTTTTATTTTAAAATCACCAGTAAAAATGCAGGGGTATATAAATAATAACATTACACCCACCTTAAATAGTTTAAAAGTAGTATTTAAAGAATCAATTGGGATCTTAATATAGATTTTTTAATTCTACTGCCTTCATTCATTGTAAGATTTTATCATGTCAAGTAGTAATGTTTAAAGTTTCTAAATGCTTTTGGAAAAAGTAGATTTTCTTAATCTTCCTCATTAAAACTACAAGGAATTTTGCTTATGATGTTCAGTAAAAATTTCAAAATATTTTAAATTTCAAGTCTCATACATTATTTTGAATATCTTACTGAATTTCTTTGTCATGTAAAAATGTGCTCTTTTCTGTGGGTTTTATTTTGCTTAATTACTTTGATTTAAAAATGTTTTCTTTACATTGTAGTGATGGTGTTTTTGATATTTCAATTTATAGATGAATGGTTCTATATCTCAAACCACTTCTCAGACAAGTTCCATCCCACCTTTGAATCAGGTAATTCGGTTCTGAGATAAATCATAGATTGTTTAATCTTAGCCAACATGCCTAGGTTCCATGGATATTTCCTTACAACAAATGTTTATCATAAAAAACATTAGAAAGTGTCCATTCATTATCTCACCACCTGGGTGCCATAAATGTTAATACTGTATGAGTTTGCATGATTTGTATGTGTATTACGTATATAATTTTACAAACATCAATGTACCATATGTTTTAATTCAATTTCATCTATTCATCACATCATTTTTAATGTCTCACCGATTATCTATTGTATGTATACGGTTAGGTTTACATTTTTATAGCTACATTTTGATACACCTTTAAAGCACACAAGTCGAATATTAAACTTTTGCTAAGAAAAAATTGGTTTCACATTTTAGCTCTGATTGAAAATAAGAAAATGGAGATCCATTTTTTTTAAATCTTGTTTTTCATCATTTGTATGCATATGCGAATATAAAGTACATTAAGAACTACTCCAAATTCAACATGGAATTTTCTAGATAATCTTACAAATCATAGGGTTATAGTAAACCTCATCTGTTTCCAAAGAGATTATAAGCAGTTCATGCAGAAGTTAAAGGAATGGATGGATTGGTAATCTATTTTTAATAAAGAAGAATTAGAAAATAAAAGACTTGAAACTATTATATTTCATTATTATTATTTGTGTAGGGTTTTTTGGTGTATCCTATTTACATTGATTTTATAATAAAATTTATAATAATATTTTAAGTCATTTGAAGTTCAAATATAAGACCCTTTTAGTCTTAAGAGGGAAATTATGTAAGGAAATAAATTAGAAATCTCTTAAGTATAGAAATCTTTGAAGTTTCTTTTTTTTTTTTTTTAAGAACAACCCCCCCTCCCTTCCCAATGGTTGATTTGCAATCCAGCATGATATTCCAATGTCTTTGAAAACCTATTGGAGGGCATAGAACTAGATTTTGGGATTTTTATTTTTAATTGCTTTAGAGGATAAAAATTGAAATAAGACTTATCAAGTAAATAATTGAAAAACTTGGGCCACAACAATATCTTATATGTATCTGTGGAGAAACAGTACTAGTACTGCCTATACATGTTATCTTTGGCATTTTTAAGAATTAATGGTCCTAATAATGGAATACCGTACGATGAGTCATTAGACCTGGATTCTAATCCCATCCCAGCTACTTGGTATCTTGGGTAACACTTAGACAAATCACATCCCTGCTACTCAGTCTTACAAAATATGGATACAATATTTACCATTTTTACTGGGTGTTATAAACTTTAGTTGTTTATGGAATCTTTAAGTATTAGAGCTAGAAAGTATCTTGAGAGACCATCTGGGCTCATAACATATGTACCTTTTAAATTTTTATTTATAACAATCTTAAACAGAAAAAAAAAAACTCTTGGTGTAGAGTACACACATTTTTATGTAATTGTAATCAATATACAAGGTCTCCAGGTGGCACAAACAGTTTGCGTCTGTTAACCTAAAGGTTGGTGGTTTAAACCCACCCATACCCACCCAATGGTACCACAGAAAGAAAGACCTCGTGATCTGCTTCCACTGAAATTACAGCCAAGAAAACCACATGGAGCAGTTCTACTCTGTAACACGTGAGGTCGCCATGTGTCGGAATTGACACAGCGGCAACTAACAATGACAAGAACAATCAGTATATACATATTTCATCTTTTTTTTTTCACTCAGCATGATTTCATCGATATATTTCCATGTACTTTTTACTTGCCATGTAGTATTCATGTTGATATGCCACCATTTTTTTAGCGAATTGATTTTGTGTTAGACATTTCAATTGTCCCCCTCCCCCCCCTTCGCTTTTATAAATACCGTCACTGTGAACATTTTTCTAACTAGCGTTAGTCATGGTACAGTTAAGTGTGTGGACAGTTATATGGCTCTTGCTTTATAGGTTTTCAGGACATTTGTATTGGTTTAGTGACCCTGAGTATTGGTGCTCAGTTTTTATGATTGTTAAGAGAATATATATAGCGATCTGATCTAAGGAACCAATCTCTTTGAAACTTAGTCCTTCCACCAAATTTGGATACAGTGTGAATTGGGAGGAGAATATAGTCAGTAGTAGGAAAATCTTCATAGTATTGCCAAAATAAATACTTAAATAATTCAGAAACAGGTTGGCTTTGTAAAGGATTAACTGTTTTTTATGTAGGCTCATAATTTATCCATTGGTAATATTAATCATATTTATTATACAGATCCCCGCCCCCTATAAAAACTCATGGGGATAGTAACTATTTATAAGCCTAGCAAAGCCGATCAATGAGCATAAAAATTATCTTTTTAGATTACAATATATAGTTATTAGATTGTAAGCCTATCATTTACCTTTTTAGTATAAGAACAGAGAATGTTATATTAAGTGACTTGATTCTCAGAACTATTTTGTTTACATTTGTTTATATTAAACTGTGAACTTCAGGATCTCTGTTCTGTTCATGTTTTTAAAATAACTTTTTTGAGGTATATACATGCTATAAAACACATCTATTTTAAGTGTACTATGCAATGATTTTTAGTAAATTTATTGAGTTGTGCAAATGTCACCAAAATGTAGGTTTTTTGTTTTTACTTAAAAAAATTTATTGTGGTAAAATATATAATCATAAAATTTGCCACTTTAACCATTTTTAAGCATATAATTATGTGACATTGCTATATATTCACAGTGTTGTGCAACCATGACCACTGTCGGTTTCTAAAACTTTTTCATCACCCTAAACAGAAACTCAGTACCCATTAAGCAAGAACTCCCCATTCCTTCCTCCCTGCAGCCTCTGGTAAACATTAAGCTATTTTTGTCTCAATACATTTGCCTATTCCAGATAGTTGTATAAGTGGGATCATACAATCAATATTTGTCCTTTTGTTCTGGCTTATTTCCCTTGGCATGTATTTTTTAAGGTTCATCCATGTCATTCATGTATTAATACTTCATTTTTCTTTGTCGATGAATAATATTCCATTGTATGTATTTACCACATTTTGTTTATCCATTCATCTGTTGATGGACATTTGGGTTGTTTCTGCCTTTTGACCATTGTGAATAATGCTGCAGTGAACATTAGCATGCAAGTATCTGTTTGAGTCCCTGCTTTGAAGTCTTTTGGGTATATACCCAGGAGTGGAATTGCTGGGCCGTATGGTAATTCTGTGTTTAACTTTTTGAAGACCCGCCAAGCTGTTTTCTACAGCAGCTGCAACCATTTTACATTCCTACCAGCAATTTTTCCACATCTTTGCTAACACTTGTTATTTTCCATTTTTCTGATAATAGCCATCCTAGTGGGTTTGACATGGTATCTCATTGTGGTTTTGATTTACATTTCCCTAATGACTAATGATGTTGTTCCATTTCATGTAATTATTGGCCATCTGTATGTCTTCTTTGGACAAATGTCTATTCAAGTCGTTCCCCCATTTTTAAATTGGGTTGTTTGTCTTTTTGTTGTTGAGCTGTAGGAGTTTTAAAAAAATATTCTAGATATTCAACCCTTACCAGACATATGGTTCCCAAATATTTTGTCCCATTCTCTATTGTGTCTTTACTTTCTGATAATGTCCCTTTATGCACAAAAGTGGTTAATTTTTATGAACTTTGGTTTATCTATTTTTTTGGTTGTTGTTGTTGTCTGAGCTGTTACAATATAGTTTTAGAACATTTTCAGTACCCTACTAAGCTCTCCCAAGCCTGTTTACAGTTAGTCCCCATTTCCAGCTCCAGCGTTAAGCAACCACTAATCTACTTTTTCTGTATAGATTTGTCTTTTCGGTATCATAGTCACTTTTGTAGCTAGCTCGATGCTTTGTATTTAGTAGGCAGTCATCAATATTTAGTGAATGAAATATGAGTGTTCATTCATTCAGCAAAGCTGAGCACTAGATTAAGAAAATCATTTCTATGGAGAGGTGTCGCAGCGGCGATGGTTATTGGGGCGGCGGAGACAGTAACCAGTGCCACAATTCTTAGAGAAGTGGGGCCAGGAGGGTCACTCTGAGGAGTCGAACCCCGGCTTCAGTCCCAGGAGTTTATTTTATAGTCAATACAGCAAGCAGTGAAGCAAATAACAGAACAATGGGCTTTGGGTGAATAACAATAAGTTTCGGGCAAGGGAAGAGGAATTCAGGTAAACGAGCCAATCAGTAACGGGTTTGGAAAAACAAGTCGTGACAAGTCTCAACATGTTGGGGACAAGTCTCAACATGTTGTGCAGCATAGAGGCCTTTATACATCCATATTTTAATGGCCCATATCCCCACAGAGAGGTTGTTCACAGATTGCTATGGAAGACAGACAAGTATAAAAATAGCCCTAATAACAGCCTTTGAAGTTGTATTACCAAATTTTGTGTGAACATAGTAACATAGACCATAGATGGAGGATGAGGATAGACATGGGATTAGGAAACATTGAGATGTCATTAAGGCTACAAAAGACATAATCTCTATTTTGTCTCTAAACTATTTTTGTTAGAGGATCATTTTGAATGTTCTAGTCTTAATATAATAAGGATTTACTGGTTCTGAAGCACATCGTACTAACTGTTAAGGTTAGAGTACTAAATTTATATTAAATTTCCCTGAGTTATAAATAGGAATAATGATGAAACTCTCAGGTCCATCAATAGTTCAGAAACTGGAGGGAAACTAGGAAGAGAAGAGGTTAGGGAAACAGGAAGAAAACTGGAGGAGTGTGTAGGCATGGGCATGGAGGAATTCCAGAGTTTTGAAGAGGGAGAGTGTGACCAACATTGCCAACTAAAATCAAGTCAAATAAAGTTTAAGTACTGACTAATCTGATAGATTTGGGATAAAGTAGGTCGATAGTTGTGACCTTAGCAAGAGCAGTTTCAAGGGGATGATAGAAGTGACAGCCAAGTTGCAGTGGGTAGAAAACAAAACAAAAAAACCCAACTTGATACATACTACATAGACTATAATATTCCTTCTAAGA